TTCATGAACATTTACACTCAATATTACACTGATTTTGTATTGATTAAGATCGTGGGACACAAGCCTAATTCACTAGTCTCATTCTAGAGTCTGTTGCTTGTGAATTACTTCATAGTATGAAACATTTCTTAAAAAAAAAAAATAGGCAGAAAAGTTGCAAATTAATCTCTACTTTTGGTTTCATAGTCAAACTCAAATTAGACCTATATGCCATAAACTTGAAAATACTCCTATCTTTCTTTTTACCAAAAGCCTCTCCAACACTTCTTGCTGGAGACGGTACCACATAATTTACTGCTTTATTTTCAAATCAGTTTAAACTGAACAAAAGTGATTTGTGGTACCTCTACGCTGAAGGAATCTGATCATTCGTAAGTGAGAAAACACTGACAAATTTTAAAATATAGGCTGACTGTCTACAGAGTTGCTAATAGAATCATAATATTGTACAATCTTCAGAGTTGGAAGAGATCTTTAAAGATAATCTAGTCCAACTCTCTGCAGTCAACAGGGACACTCACAGCTAGGTCATATTACTCAGAGCCTGGCCCAGCCTGGCACTGAAAGTCTCCAAGGATGGGTACTTCCACCACCTCTCTGGGTGACCTGTTCCAGTGCCTCACCACCCTCACTGTAAAAGACTTTTATAGGCTCTCTCAGCCTGTCCTCATAGGAGAGGTGTTCCATTCTTTGGATTATTTTTGTGGCTCTCCTCTGGATGGGCTCCAGTAGGTCCATGTCTCTTCTGCACTGAGGACTCTACAGATGGATTCTGTACTTCAAGTGAGCCCTTACCACCACAGAGCAGAAGGGTAAGATCACCTCCTTTGAGCCTGCTGGCTACACTTCTTTTGATGCAGACCAGGACACAGCTGGTTTTCTGGACTGCAATGGCATATTGCTGGCACATATAGAGCTTACCATCCACCAGTACCATCAGGTCCTTTTCTGCAGGGCTGTACTCAACCATTTCATCCCCGTGGTTACATTGGTAGTGGAGGTTGCCTCAACCCAGGTGCAAGACCTTGCACTTGGATTACCAAACCTCATGAAGTCCTTCTGGGCCCACTGCTCAAGCCTGTCTAGGTCCCAGTAGATGGCATTCCATCCCCACGAGTGCCAAATGCACCCCACAGCTTGGTGTCATCAGCAAACTTGCTGAGGGTGCACTTGATCCCACGGTCAATGTCATCGATGAAGATATTTAAGAGTATTGGACCCAGTACTGAACCCTGAGGGACAACACTTGTCACTGACCTCCATCCAGATGTGGGGCCACTGACCACAATTCTCTGGATACTACTAACCTTTTCAATGTCAGTAGATACTAAATGAATCTGCTCATTTGTTACTTACATTCAGCATGTGAAACTGCTCTGAGAATAGAATTTGGGTGAGGAATAGAACAAATACTATAATCTTTATAAATAAACAAAAATGTATTTCTGTCTTCTTTGCAGATAGTATCTCTATTTATCAGCTGAGTGTCAATCCATATTCTATAATTACATTACTTGTTGCAGCTATTTTTCAAAAGCATGCAGTTCCTTTGGAGAAATGTACCGCTTTAGCTTAGTAGCTATTCTCTTCCTCTGCCCTGCTGTGATGCTTTTATCATAATACTAGTCATATGCTGGCAGCCACAATCTTGTGCTCCTGAGAATGGCCTCATAGAAAGTCTAAGATGACTATTCAGACGGCTCCTTAAATTTATGCCTTTCCTCTCTTGCTATTGTTAGCAAAGCAATAAGGTGTTTTTTTTTTTTTTTTTTTCTTTTTCTTATGACTCCTTCAATTCTTTTGGAAGGAATGAAGACACAGGCTAGGAGAAAGCTTTGCTGGGTGGCAGCATGTTAACACTGAATAATATACTACTGTGTATACTAATAAATGATGTTAGGTTTGATTACACAATTTTGTAAATGAATATCTAAGTAAATTACTTTTCCAGATTGTTTTCAATTATTATTTCTCTACAATTTCCTTTTTGAACAGTTTAATACATATCATTGCAGCCTAAGGGTATATATAACTTAGGGCGTATATTTCATTGTGAATGTATCTGAAATCATCTTACACAAGAAAATTTTAACCCAATCATACAATATTTAAAGGTACATAGTCATACACAGGGCTGAGGTCCTCAATGCCCTCTTTACATCTGCCTTTAATAGCCAGATCAGTTATCCCCTGGGCTTTTTATGCCCTGATCTGGAAGTCTGGGACGCTACTCAGAATATGCCCCCAGCGATTAAGGTGGAGACAGTCAGAGAGCTCCTCCTCCATCTGGATTGTCACAAGTCCATGGGACCGGATGGGCTACACCCTCGGGTGCTGAGGGAGCTGGCGGGGGTGATTGCCGAGCCGCTCTCAGCCAACTATCAGCGATCCTGGTTAACTGGTGAGGTCCCAGAGGATTGGAGGGTTGCTGATGTGACTCCCACCTTCAAGAAGGGCCATAAAGAGGATCCGGGGAACTACAGGCCTGTCAGCCTGACCTCAGTACCAGGAAAAGTTATGGAGTAAATCATCTTGGATGAGATTTCATGGTATGTACGTGGTGTCCAGGGGATCAGACCCAGACAGCACAGGTTTGTGAAATGCAGGTCATGCTTGACCAACCTCATCTCCTTCTATGACTGCGTGACCAGACTGGTAGATGAGGGAAGGGCTGTTGATGTAGACTACCTAGACTTCAGCAAAGCTTTTGACACGGTCCTTCACAGTATTCTGGGGAAACTGGCTGCCTGTAGTCTGAACAGGTATACCCTTCTTTGGGTAAGGAACTGGGTAGAGGGCTGTGCCCAACAGGTAGTGGTGAATGGAGTTAAGCCCAGCTGGCAACCCATAACAAGTGCTGTCCCCCAGGGGTCAGTACTGGGACCCATCTTGTTTAATATCTTTATTGATGAGCTAGATGAGGGGGACTGAGTGTACCCTCAGTAAGTTTGCAGATGACGCCAAGTTGGGAGGTGGTGTCGATCTGTCTGAGGATAGGGAGGCCCTTCAGAGGGATTTAGACAAGCTGGATCGCTGGGCTGAGGTGAATGGGATGAGGTTCAACAAGGCCAAGTGTCGGGTCCTGCACTTTGGGCACAACAACCCCATGCAGCATTATAGGTTTGGGGATGAGTGGCTGGATGACTGTGAAGAAGAGAGGGACCTGGGGTGTTGGTCGATGCTCGGCTGAACGTGAGCTGACAGTGTGCCCAGGTGGCCAAGAAGGCCAATGCCATCCTGGTCTGCATTAGAAATAATGTGGCCAGCAGGAGCAGGGAGGTGATCATCCCCCTGTGCTCAGCACTGGTGAGGCCGCACCTCAAGTACTGTGTTCAGTTTTGGGCCCTTCACTACAAGAAAGACGTTGAGGTTCTGGAGCATGTCCAGAGAAGGGCAACAAAACTGGTGAGGGGTCTGGAGCACAAGTCTTATGAGGAGCGGCTGAGGGAGCTCGGATTGTTTAGTCTGGAGAAGAGGAGGCTCAGGGGAGACCTCATTGCACTCTACAACTTCCTGAAGGGAGGTTGTGGTGAAGAGAGAGTTGGCCTCTTCTCCTAGGCAACAAGTAGGACACGGGTAATGGCCGCAAGTTATATCAGAGGAGGTTTAGATTGGACATAAGGAAGAATTTTTTCTCTCAGAGAGTGGTCAGGCACTGGAATGGCTGCCTAGAGAGGTGATGGAGTCGCCGTCCCTGGCAGTGTTCAAGAGGCGTCTGGATGAGGAGCTGCTTGTGGTGGCAATGGTGATGAGGAGACGGTTGGACTAGATGATCTTGTAGGTCATTTCCAACCTTGTGATTCTATGATTCTATGATTCTAATTCCAAGATATCTGTGGATGTTTCAAGTTCTTATGGAAATACAATTTCCAGTCATGCCTATTTTGATGGTTGTTTTTAAAAAACACTGAGGTACTATCAAGTACTATGTAATTGGATATGCCTGCAAAGGATTTTTAAAGATTACAAAGGGAGAGAGAGAGACATATTTCAACTGCAAATAAACACCTGATGGGCTGAGATGTCTTTGATAAATCCTAAATGCCTGTATGTCTACAGAGATCTGATCCTTTTGAAGTTCTAACACAAGATTAGGACTAAAAAAATAAGACTTTTTCTCTTTTTCTCATTTTTATGAAAGGCTATTTTAAACCAAATTGTCATATTTACACAAATGCATACCTCTACACCCATATGCTACAGAATGAGAAAATCCATTGTTCTTTCTCATGGACTCATAGTCTTAATCTACAGTCTGTACTTATCTCACTGTCTACTGATTGCTACTTGTATTTTCAGTAATTTAAAAGTATTTGTTTTTTCGCACTTAAAAGATAAATTTCATATACTGACCATGGCCTGTGTTCCCTTCCCAAGCTGTATAACCCCGTGCCAGGACAGCCTAACAAATTTTCTGTCAGACAAGCTCTATGCTGTTATTGCTCAATACATCAGTTATCATCCTACCCTCTGTGAAACCCTATGTGAGCTTTTCCATCTATTTCTGAATCACATTTAACTTCCAACTCTTCACCTTTAAGTACAGTATAGTATTTCCCTTACATATATTGTTCCAACTCCTTCTTACTCCTCAGTCCTTCTGCCTCTAGCCTCCCTCACTTTTCCTATCATTTGGCACATTCTGCTCTCTGGATTAGACAGACCTGTATTTGTCTGCTGATGCAATGCTCTTTTATCTTTCTTCCTTTAAACTCCTCCTGAAAACTCTGGTTTTTTGCCCTCTAGCATATCATTATTTGACGGCAAGTTATCAGGAGTGAGCAGAGGCTGCATTGGTGTCCCCTCCACTCAGTCATACATGTGAATAAAATTATTCATTTTGAAGCCCCACAGACTTTTAATAATGGCTGATGACCTCTTCTTCATCCCATATCACTCCACAGAGTTGGCCACTATGGGGGGTCATGAAAGGAAGAGGAGGCCAGCTATACTGACTCTGAGTAGGAAAAGAGGAGTAATAACATTTATTTTCCACTTACCGGTTTCTATTGCTAGAAATCCAATCTGAAATTAATGTTGCAGCCTGCTGGTGACAGTGTTTGTTACCAAAGCTGCAGGCCAACATGATGACTTCCCGGCGCAACTCTCTGCCCAAATTAAAGAAAGAAATAAGGTTCCATTAATAAACGCAGTACAAAATTTACAAATATGCATTTCTTATAACATAGTGGCAGCAGATAGTTGTGTAACAAATCAAAGATAATAATCTAGTTACAAAAGCAAGCCCATAGCTGCTGCAACAGTAAAGGAAAGGTTATGCATCAAAATTAGATTTCATTTACATTTATTCAGTCTTCAGATCTCTTGTGGTCAAGAGTCCAAGTTCTTAAATATCCAGTGCAGACAAATATTAAATTAATGCTTAATGAATAGTGTTCTTCAAACTAAGGAAGACAGAATTCATCTCACAGCATCTCAGTGCTCTCTTTTTAACCCCAAAAGAAAAACCAGAAGGAAGAGAGAGCTAGGAAAGTATGACATGCTGAAGATCATTTTGTGCATTATTACATCTACATTCTGTAAGAAAACAAACAAATAAACAAAAACCAATAACAAAGAAATATAACAGTACTCATGTTGGTAGGATGCTTGAACAAGTGATTTGTTTAAATTATTCGTTGGCCATCCAAGCTTGAGATACATTGATGCGACTTGTCTTAAAATATACTCCTGAAGAGGAAAAGAATATTCAGTGTTAACATTTAGTTTTGGTCTTTGTTTCAAACTTGAAATACAATCAACAGTAAGCAAAGTCCACATAAAATTTTCCTTCATTGGTGTAGTGAGAAACAATCTGTAGAAAAGCTAATTGATCAGATGCCTCATATTAGCCACTTTATGTCATAATAAATATAACAATTTAGGGTTTCCTACATGCTATTTTGAACTCACAATATATGGCTGGAAAGTTGCAAGAATGCCAACAGCTTTACATCTAATCTACAGTTAATCTCAACTATACCATGTATGTTCATTTTTAAAAGAATGTTGTTTTGATAGTCACAGCCAGGGCAAAAATGGTCCGTAGGCACAGTCAATTGACCTCAGAATATTGAATAACGTGGCTGCAAATGAGCTTTGTACCATTTAATTACACTATATTTTAAGCAACAAACCCAGCACAAGATGTATTTTAGCTTATTTTATTTTTTACACAGGAGATGTATTTACATATTCCGACCAGTTGTAAAGAAAACAACTGTCGTATTCAGCATAATCTTCTGCCAGTAAAATTCACCAATTTGAAAAACAGAACTGAAATATAAAGAACTGCACAGAATAGCATCTGCTTTATTATTATAGATGCATGGGCACGTATATGTGATGTTAGGACAAAAGGAGATTCATAGCGCCACTTTCTCTAGCAGATATGTTATTCTGTGACTAAAATGACTTTTTATTTCCTCTGCTATCACCTCTGCTTTCAAAGCTCTCATCAGTAGTGATAAAACACAAGCCAGCTGTGAATTTTACTGTTTTTATTTATTAAAATTGTCTTTTCTTTACACAGGTATGTTTAAAAGTGAAATACCAATGGCAGTCTGGTAAGAATTTTTCTGTGTAGTTAATAACAGACTGCAAACGCAAATTAATTCAACATCATTTCATGATACAGCTCTGGTTTGCATGAAAGCCTACAATGCAGAGAGCACGTAGCTCTGCATATATATTTATATGTGTATGGATTTATATATACATAGTCACCTCTAGCTTCCTGCTTTCTGAGCATGTGTGTATAAACACATGTACACACACAGAAACAAATACACATCTAAGAAGAAAAAAGCACATCTAAACATTTCAAGCTTTAGGGTGTTCTCACTCAAATATCTTTATTAAATTACACAACATTCAAAATATGTAAACTACATAACATTCACTGTACTTTCATTAAACACATTTCAGCATAGCTAGGATTTTCTTTTTTCCCTTGGTAAAATATTTGTCATGTCCATCTTAATTACCTATTGCTAGTTGCTACTGCTGTCCCTTCGGACCCCATTATGAATGGGCTTCTGATTCAATGGTGATCTAATCCTTGTTAATTAAGGTAACTGCATCGAATTCACAATGGCTTTTTGGAGAAAATAATGACTACAAATCTTTACTTCAGTGGCATGCATCCTGTGTAAGTTGTGCCTGCATTTGATGTTCTTGCTGAGCTTGGGTATCAATCCAAATACAGCTGAGGGGCTCCACAACAGATAAAAATCTGCAAATAGATTACTTTGGCTCTTTTAAGTAGAATACTTTGTTTGTTGTAGTATTCTGTAGGAGAAATAATTACTTGTCCTTCCATTTATCATATGCGTCTCAAACAAGTCATTACTGTTCAAATGCAAATGAACCAAAGCTTGACAACCGGTATGTTTAAAAAGGGAATAATTAGGAAGGAAGTTAGTATCCCTAGGTCACTTACAGAATCTAACTGGAGGATAGTTCAATTCTTGGTAATAAAAGGGAGTGAGGGAAGAGAGAAAGAGATAGGGAGACTATGCATCTCTTACACTGAAGATGTTGTAGTTTTCTGTGCGGTCCAGTAATTTATCTAGAGGATAAAGAGCTTGGCTGGCTGCATGCCAAGGTAGAAAATCCTTCTCCTCTGAAAGGTATCTGATGATCTCCAAAGGAATATTCTGAGGCAAATAACCAGCTCTGTGCAATAAATGAAGTTAGTATTAAATTGATTTTGCAGGAGATACATTATAAAGCAAAAATGACTTTTTTTTTTTTTCCCAAAAGACATTAAAAGGCAGACAAACGTGATAAACTCATCACACTATAGTAACATAAAAGACAACTGTATAAAAAGCAGAACACACCGTCTCTCTCAACACATGGGAAAACCTACATACTGGATGAAGGAAGGTATGAAAAAAACATGAAAGAAGACTAAACAAGCTATCCTTAATACATACAGATTTTAGTAGCTATAGAAAATACAAACAATGAAGTAAAGTTGTCTGCATAAAATCAACAAGTCAAGGTATGTTGTTTCAGAAATCATTTCAAATGGCCTCAGTCATCTCGGAAGAACTAATAGTGAATAGGGTTCCTTTAGTTTCATAGTTTTCCTCCCCACACTTTTCTCTCTCCTTCATAGCTGCCTTGTCTTCTAACTGTAAGCCATTTTAGAACAACTTACTGTATTAAACTGAAGTAGCATCCAATGACATATTTTGGTTAAGAGTTTTTCAGCACTTTCCATGAAAGCAATTTTTTTTCCATAGGTTTATCAATCAATCAATCAGGTAGAATTTTGCCCTGCTCTTTAACTGACATAAAAAATCTCTCCCCGAAAGGAAAAGAGTTTAGTAGGGTTTCAAGAACTTTATTTTGTTTTGTTTTGTTTTTTTTTATATTTAGTTTTAGATTTACAAGTAAAGAGCTATACAGCATTTGGAAGCTGCTTTTTAGATCTAAGTACTGGAAACATCACATTTTAGGATTTGTACTCATTTTCTTTTTCAAAACAGTATTTTTTCTTAACTACCCAGATTGCAAAAACAAGGTGTAACCCTGTGGGTGTGAGCTTGCCAGAACACACAAGTCTGTTCTTCTGCTGATGCATGTATTTAAATCCCACAGGAGTTCTCTACCTGCCTAGAAAGGAGATAATGATTTCATTTTCATTAAACAAACTCAGGAAGCTGGAGTCCACAAGTTTCAGTTTAACATAGGCTTCAGTATGATACATATATTTTGTCCTTGTTGGTCACCAATGGTTCTCTTAATTTCCATCACATGGAAAAGATGCATACGTGACTGCTTGTTACAGCAAATAAAGACAATTACAGATACATACATACATACATAAATTGTGATCTCAATTGTAACAACAGTTCTTTTAAGAACTACTTTGCTTAAATCTTTGAAATAGACTGATCCAAAACCAGTTTTCTTGTAAAGTGCAGCATATCCATGTAAGCCTTTGTGCTTCATAATCCTCTTCCTTTCAAATTCTTGTGGAAGAAGAGAGTTCATATATGATATTTCAAAATTATCTATGCCACATGCTCATAATATGCTTTCCACTATGCTGTCATCTTTGTCTCCATAATGTCAGCAAGGTTCTGTTCTCAGCTCGTTACAGAGCAGACTCAAGCAAGGAAAGTTGAGATGACTTGAGTTCACTAAGTCACTCAGCCACTTAACAGATGTGAAAGGAGAATGGGCCTCTCAGAGTGGATAGTGACAGAGTTCAGTACATCTGAAAACTGAGAAAGTAAGCTGAATAGGAATTACTTCATTTTTACAAGCCTTTCTTATTTCTGAAGCAGTATGAATTTTAGGTCTCAACACTTTGTAAAGATGTGTAACTATAATAATGTGAGCAGAAGCAAGCTTGATTGACTGCAGAGTTAAACATCTTGGAGGTAATATTAGCAAAGAGGTAAACTTGCTCAAAGTTCCACATATATAATTAGATCCCAGTGGGATTTGTGATTATTGTACTGATAATTTGATTGACATGAGAAAGGTGGATCAAAGAACAAGAAGAATGGCTCAGAAAACATGCTACATAAAAAATAAACACATGAATGTTTATTGTAGCTGCACTAATGGACATTTAGGATCATGCCTAAATTGAGTCTCTCTATGCTAATCACAAAAGGGAAATCATCACTGCAAAACAGATTATTTCCTTTTCTTTGTAAGTTTAACTTCTCCATAACAAAACAAAATCATTGAATTCCTAGATCTATTACTTATTCATGAGCTTCTGGCTTTCCTAATCAGTTTTAGAATTGTGATTTTAAGCTGATGCTACTCATCCTGTTCACAATGGAAACTGCTGCTCTCATCATCTCACCATTTTAAACTTCCACAATCCGGAGAAGAGAAAGCTGTTGGAGGACCATATGGTGGCCTTCCAGTACTTGAAGGGGACCTACAGGAAAGCTCGGGAGATACTTTTCAGAAGGGCAGGTAGTGACAGAACAAGCAAAATTGGTTTTAAACTGGAAGAGGGTAGATTTAGCCAAGATATCAGGAAGAAATTCTTTACTGTGAGAGTGGTGAAACCCAGGGAAGTCGTGGATGCTCCCTCCTTGGAAGCATTCAAGGCCAGGCTGGTTGAGGCTTGGAGCAACCCGGTCTAGAGGGAGGTATGCCTGCCTATAGCAGGGGGTTGGAATCAGAGGATCATCCAATCCAAACCATTCTGTGATTTTATTATTCTGCATCTTCACAAAACCAAGCAGCTATTTCTCAAGCTTTGCATTTTTGTATAATCACATTATTTACATTAAAAGTTTGTCCAGCACTGATTTCAAGACTCCACCTGGAGACACTGAATCCAGCAAGACATACTGGCTCACTTGAGCAGTGGCAAATTCATCTATTAGCCAACGTGTCCTGTTGTGCACCTAGGATTCTCCTTCACTGTCTGTGAATAGTGAATAGTGAAATAGTTTCAAAAATGGTTATGTAGAATCCAGTCAGCAAAAGCAAAATATTTGTCCCTAGTAAAGTAGGAAGGAATGGTCAAAGGAATGAAAGTCAAAGGACTTGTAACAAAGAAATAGCACCAGTTGGCTGACAACTGCTAATTGAAACCACTTGTCTCATTTATGGAGCAGGATAACAACTAAGATGAAGAAAGAAGGCAGAATACAGAATGAGCCTGTTCTACATTTCTCTGCAAACTCATATTCAGACCTCTATAAATTTTTAACAAACTGTTTAACAATTATCATTACAACAAAAGGAAAAGTAATAGTAGCAACTTTCCCATCAAGGGGAAAAACATAAAATAATTTCCCTGTCATATAATTGTCTGGTATTATTTATTCAAAGGTACAAATATCCTATGTTAAGTTTTTCACTCTACACATGCAGCTTGATTTACAATCTTTTCCATCAGTGTCAGTGGAACATCAGTGACAAAAATCCATATTTTTCTTGTGTCCTTTTCGCTATCATATTTCTGTCCTTAACGCCCAGCAGAACTACCATCAGATATTGCCTACCAAATGCACCAGAGCAAAGAAATGAGGTTCTTTTCCAGTCTATCCATGTTAGAAGAAAACTGAGAAATCATCTGTCTTACAGGAAATAATTGATTATAAGCTATACCAAAACCATGTAACAAACATAAACACCACAGGCATACTGTGATGTGAAATCATATGACTGGTCTGAGACATCATACTGTTTCTCCAGGTGTCTCAAGCAGCACAAATCTACAACCTAGAAGCACTACAGTTTTGGCACTCCTTTTCCCAAGGGCACAGTGATATTTTAATTCTGGTCCTTCTCCCAGTAACTCTTCAAGGAAGAGTATTAGCAGACCCATGTACATGTTCTAAAATGAAATGTTATTTAAGTAATTTCACTGTAAAACATAAAAAGCTGGAGTCTTTACTGCATTCTAGATTAGAAGTTTTTGACTGGAATCACTGATCATACAGAGAAGAGACTGTTTAGAAAAAAACCTCTTCAAGTTCTAAGCCAGCCTTCTTTGTACTGTAAACTTTGGACTGAATGTAAAAAACATGCCAATGAAAGCAAAATTTGACCAAAACAATTACATTTGAGATGATTGGTTGTTTTATTACTCTTTATGTAACTGTCCTAATCAAACAGCTTTACCAGCATGTAAACCTTTCCTGTTGCAAAAAAAAACTTTAGCATCAGTCAGAAACAGGGCAAAACATTAGGTTTGTCTTATCATCCATGTTCCTGGATTTCACTTTTTTCTAATGAACTAAAGAGGAGAACAAGAACACAGGCAAGCAAAGAAATCTGTTTTAGCCATTAGACAAATTATTTCTAGAAAAGAATTCTGACCAAGCAGGTTTTTCATGCCTAAAGAGGCTGCTGACAAATTGTGGTAAAAAGGTTGTTCCCTATTTTTATGACAAGAGCAGAGACAGACAAAGACCTCTCAAAAGTAATATGAATATAAAGTTGTGTAGGACATTATATAATATCATAAGCACCGACCCTTGAACAAGCTACTATTCTGCTTACACTGAAGAAACTGCTACAGTGACCATTGCTATAAAGAAAAAAAGACAATAAATAGAAAGCAACGAATGTGGTAATGAAATATTCATCACAAAAATATCCCACTAAAAATCCTTTACCAATCCAAAATAATCTTTATGTTACATGAGCTCTTAACAAGTCAAATAAAAGCTAGAGATCTAGACTATATTATGAAACATCAGTGTGTATTCAGCTGTATTTTGACCTTGATTTGTTCTTTACACTGAGCCACTGAACTTATGGACAGATCCCAGCACATTCGTTTTCCCCTTAGGGACAAAGTACCAAATGGTAGTGTAATTGCCAAGGGAAAATTATTACTCTGTTCTGAATTATTTCTATCATAAATCCAGCACCAGTCAAACAGACTCTGTCACAAAAACACAGTGTTGCCTTACAATGATGAGAATCCCACATACACATGTACCATCAATCCCTTAGTCCCATCGCCAAACAAAGCCATTATAAATCTTGTGCTTAAATCAAAATTAGAAAATCCAAGCTGGCAGCAAACTGGTCAACATTGTTGAAACAATGGAAATGAAGTGATTTACTTGCCACTGGTTTAAAACTCACCCTGCATCATCTGTTTCCTATGAAATAACATATGACTAGCTTTCTGTTTAAATAATTCCAAAGAGGAAAAAAATGCAGCTCTTCAG